GATTAAGGCCCAGAATGCGACGAGTGCTCTCGAGGTGTTAACGTTCTTCAACCTACGCAGGAGGGCGGGCAATCCATCAATATTCCAGGTCATGAAGGTCCACTAGTTAAGTCGAGTCACAGATGGTGCCATAAATAGTTTGGATTAAGACGGGCATAGATAGAAGTTTACGTGTAAGCTTGTTTAAGTAATATGAATTTGTGAAGACAAGAAAACAGAACAGATAAGGTGAGGAGAGCTAGGAATTGGTTGGCTGGAGAGGTTGCAATAAGTATAACAACGTCAGTGATGGTGTTTGCAGGGCAAGGGATAAGAATGTTATATCCAATCAACATCTCCATCCATGCAAAACTGTTTCAAGTCTCTAAAGCAGCCTTATCATCCAGAGATGTTGGTCTCATATCCTATCTTATTATTTTTTTCCTTCTCTTTCTGTGTTTGCCAGATAGATCATTCTTTCATTCTCATCCCCTCCAAGTTGCAAGTGGACGTGGGTCCATATTATGGATGATCCAGTTAGGCCGATCCGGGCCGGTCGCCGGTCCCATCTCCAGCCAAGCACCTCCCCTTTTTCTTATTTTTGCATATTGATTGAAGTTTCTGTTGTCAAGCTAAGAATCCGTGAAAGTCTTATCTTAGAAATGGCAGGTGTTGAATCCCAATACATAATAAGGAAATTTACATCCTTTTAGCCGTAGAAAAAATTTCCTAGTCTCTCAATATTTAATTATCATTGGTTTAGTATCCATATCCATTTATATATAGTACGATGAAAAGACAGACACCAATATTATCCATCCTTTGTAAAAATTCAACGAGTTAAAGGAAAAATAAGACCCGATTTCGTTATTAATTATTGTCTTAATTTATTTTTAAAGTGATTATTTTAATACGTATATATAGATTTGCACTCAATGCAAATGCTATTTATAAAAAATTTAAAAGATAGTAAATCTCTATATTACAACCCACTTAAATTTAGTAAATCTCGAATAGAGATGTTGATCTAGAGGTTTACTTCCAAAATAATCACGTCTCATAGAAAAAAACCCCACTATTCTATTTAGAAAATAATATAAAATTAAATATCACTATAACTTTACCTAATTAAGCTTGACTGGCTAAAATTTAATTATTTAATTTAATAGGTTGAATTCAAAGATCATGAATCTTCTCATTTCATGACATGATAAGGTCGTGTTTTTCATTGAATTGGATTTAATTAATGTTAATGTGTAAGAGCATCGCCCAAGAGGCTGGGGCACCCCTAATAGTAAATAAAAATAAAAATTAGTAGTATAATTACTTGCATATATATATATATATATATATATATGATATGATATGATATGATATTCATATATAGAAAAACTAAGAAACGTAGAAATGAAAGGCAGGTACTGGCATGGAAAATCAGGAGTTGGCAGGTAATTTGCCGTACTTCAAATAATGGAGTGCGGTATTGAAGTAAGAACACGGAAATCATACAAAAAAAAAAAAAAGAATAAAAAAGGGTAAGGCCGTGGAGAACCCTTGGAAGTATGCTGACATCGACTCCATAATATCGTTTCAGTTCAAACATCAAGATCAACAAAAACGAAAAACAAGATAAAACGAAAGAAGAAAAAAGCTCACAAATTGAAGTCCCAGAAGCCCACTCGAAAGTGTGATAAATATTACGCGCGTTGATGGGTTTAGCACTCAATATACAGACAGACAAATTAGGTGATGGTGGATCAGCTAGCTAGCTGGGTGCATTTCTTTGGCAAATCCCTCAAGGTCTGTATAAGAGTTTGTTACTCAACTCTCCAAAACCTAGTTTTTTGTAGAGGATAATACTTGATGTAACATGATGGGCAAGCATTCATTCTACATACCAGATTTCTCTCTCTCTCTTTTTTTTTGTTTTTTCCTTCATAACTTTTATGTTCTGTTTTCTTTTGTTGCACGCCAGGGGAGTGTTTGAATTAATTACTGATCAAACTCCAAGCTCACTAGAAAGATAAGCTTGGTTCAGATCTTACTGTTATTAGTGTGAAATTAAGACGAAGGACGACCTTCCCTAAATGGGGTGTGATCAAAACTCATGCTTAAAGTAGTTGAAACAGAGGGGCCATTAAAATGCATGATTTCTTACCTTTTGGAATCTGGGTTTGCTCAAAGTCCTCCTGATTTAACTACTATCTATCCATGATACATTGCCCCCTCCATTTTGCTATGTATACACAGACTTTCTGCACTCCTCTTTTTGTTTAATAATTGTGCCTTCCAGATATTCGTTTAGAAAGCTAGCTGGAAGCAAGCGGATATATGGTCTCTCTCTATTCTCTTTTTCTCAAATAATCGGGCCAATCCACGTCGGTTTTTGGCTTTTAAAAAGTCATGTCGAGACATGTTCTCCATGTAAAAATTAAGCTTATTTCTTCCTTTACTCCTCATAGTGTCAAATGAATTTAACATTTCATAGAGGCGTGGCATATTTAATATCAAAACAGCACCCAGGCAAACCTGAACAATGCATCTAATTAATTAATCTCTCTAAATATATAATTCATTGTACGAGGATGGATTCCACAATGAATTTTTATTTGGACAACATAACGTCAGTATACAGACACGACTAAACTCGTGGAATCTTATCGCCACCCGTTATTGTCTTGTGTGGAAGGCAATCGTGAAGCCCGAAATAAAAATTCCAATTCAAAGACAGAACTATTTAGCTTCCTGCATGTCTTCCTCCTCAAAAAAGTGTTTTTTTTTTTTTATAAAAAAAGTAATCCATATATTAATTACGTGTTTACGTAGCTGATAATGAGATATTGAATATATTGATGAATCCACCAATCATTCGAGCCATGGTTATCGCGTAACACAAGAAATTGCAGTTAGTTATAAGATGTCGTTATTACAATTATTAGGAAGGTTGCCTTTATTTGGTGCTCTATTTTTCTCTTATCCTATAATCTGGTGGTTGAACCATGCCAAATTTAAAGGAATAATTAACTTAAGAATGGATTATAGAGCTTAATTCAATTGGGATATGATTAGCTAACTTATTATTCTCTATGCACATGCTTCTGGTCCAGGGAATCACAAAATGCAAGGAAAAATAATAAAAACAGCATATTTTAGTCCCTATAGAATGAACAATATTCATTTGGATCCTTATAGTTTTAAGATTTTCAATACTGATGATATAATTTTCAAAAGTTTCAACATGTTCCCTTTACCACATGTGGTAGCTAAAAGAATTCTAGTTTTTTTCTAGCATATTATTATTATTATTATTATTTACTTCTCCCCACAAAAAAAGAGATCACATAAATGCACAATATCGTTCCACAAAAATCCTTTAAAAATTAAAAAAATCTCAACATAAAATTAATGAATAGTAATAAAGGGGTCTTGACATTAGCCATTCAAAATGAAAGGACACATATTAGAACTATTTGGAAATGCGAAGGCTGAAATTAAAATTTTTAACTTGCAAAGCTTAAGTAGAGCATTGCGGCATCCATGAGAGATATTGTATCATATCATATCCGCCGTATACCCACGTATAAACTTCCATATCCATATAATACTATGTTATCCAATAAACAATATTGCATGAAGACAAAAGAAGCTTATAAATAGTCGCAGAATATTAAAATAATAATAATGATAATAACGAAACTTAAGAGCTCTGTTTCAAACGGCAGCCAAGGCGAAATTGCTATTCAAATATCCAAATTCTTTCGATTTATATCTGAAAAACATAAACCTGGCTCGTTTTCAACCGGCAGCCAAGGCGAAATTGCTATTCAAATATCCAAATTCTTTCGATTTATATCTGAAAAACATAAACCTGAATTCCTTATGATAATAAATAAATAAAATAAAATAAAATAAAACGGAGGCAACTCCAGTGTAAAATTAGGCGAAATTGCTATTCAAATATCCAAATTCTTTCGATTTATATCTGAAAAACATAAACCTGAATTCCTTACGATAAAAAATAAATAAAAAAAAATAAAACGTAGGCACACCAGTGTAAAATAACATATGCAAGAACAGTTCACACGATGAAAAACTGTACATATACAAGAACAGTTCACACGATGAAAAACTGTCAGTGACAGGATAAAGTTACTTGTTTCATTTATGATATTGGAAAGTATTTACAAGTCACGAGATTGCTTTGTTTTAATTAGTCAGTGCACCCAAAGAAATATCATGCATGTGTTTGAAAATTTAGACAATATACATGTGCAGTCCTCCTCTCCCTGAAAAGTTAATATTACTCGAAAAGAAAACTCAGATTTGCCAGTCGGAGACCAAATTACACTGCAATTTGTAGAGTGCTTTCAGTTTCAATGTCTAATTAACGTTGGCCCTTTCTTTTGTTTGGACAGAGGTCGAGGATTTTTATTGGTTGAAAGCAATTCTTTCTACGAAACCACAAATCTATCCCTCTCAGAATTTGAACACCTTCGGTTCTTAATGGTTAAAACTAAGTTTGAAAACAATATACAGGTTATGAAAAGCTACAGGTTGTCTATTTAATAAATATAACCTTTATCTGTTACTTTCTTTATTTTCTTAATATATATATAAATAAAATATAAGAATAGAACTGCCGGGGATAGCAACATTCTACATTTAGTGCGGTAAGAATACAACAACTGGGGATAGCAACATTCTACATTTAGTGCGGCTAACGTGACAATAACATATGAAGATATTATCATCTGAAAGAGATTCTCTGATCCGTGATCACATCTTTCAAATATTATAGTTTTTATCATTTCCATTGGTCATGCTAGGTTATGGCTAATAATATTGTTAAAAGTAGTGTTTCTGATCAGTAGTCGTCCAGGTGAGCTTAGGCAGTAGTGACCACCAAAGTGCCAGCTGCGTGCTCTACTAACCAACTCACAGATACAGTCCCTCTCCATGCAGTACTGTGTTTGAGTTTAGCTTCATTTGTTATAACATCTTGACGTGGAAACCTAATCAAGAAATGTATAGCCATTAATGTCTCTCGCTTTCAAACGCAACCTTCCTCTATATAAAGCCCCCTTCCTCTTAACCCAGCTATACTACAACTACAAACATCACATATTTATCCCAACATGGCTGACAAAATCAACACACTCCCATTTCTCTTGTTTCTTCTTTGCTTATCCAATCACATAGTAGAATCCCGGGAACCTTTCGCTTGTGACCCTAAACTTGGGCTAACAAGAAGCTTCAAGTTCTGTAGGGTTAATTTGCCAATACATGTGAGAGTGAGGGATTTGATTGGGAGGTTGACATTGCAAGAGAAGATTAGGTTGTTGGTCAACAACGCTGCTGCCGTGCCTAGGCTTGGCATTCAAGGGTACGAATGGTGGTCTGAGGCTCTTCATGGTGTGTCCAATGTGGGGCCAGGGACCAAGTTTGGTGGGGCCTTTCCTGGTGCCACTGGCTTTCCTCAGGTTATCACCACTGCTGCTTCCTTCAATGAGTCTTTGTGGGAGGAAATCGGACGGGTGAGAATCCTTGAAATTTTTCTTCTTTTACTATACATGTCTGTCTTATACTGTTATATTGCTTCTTGGTGTAAGAAGTTTATGGCCTTTTTTTTTAAAAAAAAATCTCCCTCTGAACTTTAGTGAAAAAGCAAATATCCCATGAACTTAAAAAAGAAGAAGATTGATTTTATATTTTGAGTCTTTTGAATGTGTCATTTTCATTGCTGAAAAATTAACGAAAATATCCATAAAAATCCTCCCCGATTTCTACATCCTTTTCTCTATCAACTTAGAAAAATCTTTGGTAGTAACGAAATGAGAGAAATTAGAAGGATTCAATTATATGGGTTTGTCCATTAATTTCTCAATGAAATCCTAAGATAATGGGAAAACTCAAAAAAATCATATTGCTTAAAATGATAAGTTTTAGTTCAAGGCATTATTAGTTTTATTTTTCACTCAAATTCAAGAGAGTGATTGACAATTTAACCAAATTAAGTTTATATTTTTTTTAATAAGGACGTTCACCTACTTTCTACTTGGGAACACTACTTGACAACATGACCCCAATATTAGCATATTCACATCCTCGGTCACAATCCAAAAGCCTAATCTCTTGTGTATGACCACCAAAACAACGCGTGTTCGGCCCCCATAAATGTTCTTCCTTCGAAACGAAAATATTGACTCGAATCCGTTCCTTAAAACTTGCTAGCTTAAAAAGAGAACAAGCATTGATTAATTTAACTAGTACTTTTTCTTTAACAATATTCTACGGCTACTTTTTTAACAATTACTAGTAAAGTTTGTTTCGATGCCTGCCACGCCATTATGGCATTGATATTACAAGAGGTGAGACAAAAAAACCGAAAGCTATTTTTGGCTCCCACTATCGCATCCGTGTAAAGGGAGACTGACTCTAGCATGGGCAGCCTACACACCCCATGCCCAGTGTTCACGTCAGCCCCTAGGTCCACTTTTAAGTTTTGAGGCCCTCCATCAATGCGCTAGTGTCTCTTCGCTGCTTTTGCCTCTAGTTACATAGAAAAAAAAGGTGTTCAATTGTTTAAGAGGCTGTTTCTGATTCACTGTGGTTCTAGAAGTAGGCGGGGAGAAAGTGAAGCCAATTGCAAGGATCTAGCTAATCTTCACTTGGCCTTGGTTAAAAATGATGGAGAAAAACAATTTACTCACTCCAGCCAAGTCACAAATAGGGTGCTGAAGGGCTGGTTCGAGGGAAAGAATGCAAAAGAGAGTAATTGAGTGAAACTTGTGCCTAATATTCTCTAATTAATTGTAGTTGGTCCATGAAAACTCCACGACACCAACCTCAGCCTACCCTCTCTATTATGATGCTAAACTTAGTCTTAATTCATCACAACCTTAATTTTACACGTTTTGTAGAAGGTTATCAACGTGTTATTGAGGTGTGAAGTGTCACTTGTGGCAAGGTTTGCTTTCTTTCTTTCTTATCCTTTTTTTCCCCGTTAGTGAATTTATACGTACTTTCTACTTGGAAAATCCTTCAAATCAACCATGGCAAACAATATCAACAAGAAGAAGACATGGTTATAAAATATTTAAAGCATGATATACCATAAATTAAAACGTCCAAATCAAATTTTCTAGCATGAGTTTGGTCCATGACACGTGAATGGATGCTTTTTCGTTACTCATCCGAGGCCACCTTCCAAAATCTTGCTTGTACAATTCAATGAGACTAGCTTTGGGTCCCACGCGTCTAGAAGGGAATATCTGATCTCACATGGACACTTCACCTTACCTTCTTTTCCTTAGAAATTTTAAAATATGGAATCTTTGGCCTTCTCTCCCTTCGATTGTCACATTGTACATATTAATTTTAACACTTGCGTGGAGCTGAGAAATGGAGTGGACCGGTACCACTTCAATGCTAGAGTTAGCGAGATTGCAAGCAAATTTCAATTCAAGCATTGATTTGTTGAGACTGTCGTCCAATTAAAGACGGTTATATATTTAAGGTCCACATTTAATCATCCTTTTAAGAATGAAAAATTATCTAATAAAAAAACAATCAATCATTTGAGCATTCAGGATTTTGCAGAAAATCATTTAATGACTATATATAAGATGTTATCGTTCAGGTGGTGTCTGATGAAGCAAGGGCAATGTACAATGGAGGGATGGCTGGCTTGACATATTGGAGTCCAAATGTTAATGTCTTCCGTGATCCCAGGTGGGGTAGAGGGCAGGAAACTCCTGGTGAGGATCCTGTTGTAGCAGGAAAATATGCTGCCAGCTATGTTAGAGGGCTTCAAGGTAATAATGGTATCAGACTAAAAGTTGCTGCTTGCTGCAAACACTACACTGCCTATGATCTGGATAATTGGAATGGAGTGGACCGGTACCACTTCAATGCTAGAGTAAGCCATTTTTAGCTGTTCCTCACCATTAATAATTAACAAAATTATTCATAATCTGTCATCTAATCACCTCATTTAATTTCAATAGGACAAGCTTTGATTCAATGAGTTGTTCATATTATCCAGCTAATTGAACTTGCAGTTTCCATTTGCAAGGTGTGAAAATGTTTTCTAGATTGCTTGCACGGAAAAGGGAGATTGGTAAAACAGTTTATTCATGTGATCTGGACCACTCTTTAATGACGAGTAAAAGTAGTGTGGAGCTAAATCTTTTGTTTAGCAACCATAGCCAATATCACGGGCACAACTTAGCCGTGAATTTAGTGTTCCTTCCATGACCAGGATACTGAATGGGATATCTGTAAGATCAGCTGAGATTTTGGTCTCCCCTTTTTCGGGTTTGCATAGTTGAAATTGTTGTCATGACTCTTACATGAGGCTTTTGCTCACCTACAGGTGCTATGATCCTTAGAATTATCAAACGAATATGACGTTGTTGCGTTTAGATCATTATAAGCAACGTAACAGTCTTGTCGTACATGCACTAGAATAGTAATTTTCTTGTTCGTTCACGAGCCGTAATTTTTCTGTGATAATCTGTGTAGGTCAGCAAGCAAGATTTGGAGGACACGTATAATGTGCCATTCAAGTCCTGCGTGGTGGAAGGAAAAGTGGCCAGTGTAATGTGCTCTTACAATCAAGTCAATGGTAAGCCCACCTGTGCAGATCCTTACCTCCTCAAGAACACCATCCGTGGTGAATGGGGCCTTAATGGGTGAGTTGTATCATCCTCCCTTGAGTCCTCGATTATTATGTAGTAAATGGTTTTGTGATTTTGATGGGCTTCTGATCTAAATATGTTGATGGGCCAAAACAGATACATTGTATCAGACTGTGACTCTGTTGGGGTTCTATTTGATACTCAACACTACACCGCCACGCCAGAAGAAGCAGCTGCGGCCACTATTAGAGCGGGCCTGGATCTGGACTGCGGCCCATTCTTGGCCATCCATACCGAAAATGCTGTGAAGGGAGGATTGCTAAAGGAAGAAGATGTAAACATGGCCTTGGCCAATACAATAACTGTCCAAATGAGACTCGGCATGTTTGATGGACCATCAGCCCAGCCATTTGGTAATTTGGGCCCGAGAGATGTTTGTACTCCAGCCCACCAACAATTGGCCCTTCATGCGGCTCGACAAGGCATTGTTTTGCTTCAAAATCGCGGGCGGACCTTGCCTTTGTCAAGAACCCTTCAAACCGTAGCAGTAATTGGTCCCAATTCTGATGTTACTGTTACCATGATAGGAAATTATGCTGGTACGTCCAAGAGTTGCATTTTATTTTAATGGCCATCAAATTTTAAGTTCAGTTCATAAGAAAAAAACATTTTTTTCAACAGTTAATAAATCTTAAGCTTATTTTGCAAGAGGAAAATCTAATCTTTGCCTTTGTAATGCAGGTGTTGCATGTGGTTACACCACTCCTCTTCAAGGGATTCGTAGATATGCAAAGACCGTTCATCATTCTGGATGTAATGATGTGTTCTGCAATGGGAACCAACTATTTAATGCAGCAGAGATTGCGGCCAGGCATGCTGATGCAACTATTCTTGTAATGGGACTTGATCAATCTATAGAAGCAGAATTTAGGGATAGGAAAGGGCTTCTCTTACCTGGATACCAACAAGAGCTTGTATCGAGAGTGGCCAGGGCATCAAGAGGTCCTACTATATTGGTGCTGATGAGTGGCGGTCCAATTGATGTCTCGTTCGCTAAGAATGATCCTCGTATCGGTGCTATACTGTGGGTTGGTTATCCTGGTCAAGCCGGTGGTGCTGCCATTGCTGATGTTTTGTTTGGAACAGCTAATCCAGGTGTGTATGCGTGTTAGATATATCTCCAAATTAATCGAACATTAATGCTGAGCTAGGACCATTTGGTAGGAGTATTCAAGATGAGTGCTAATGTGCTTGTGATTTTGTTTTTCCAGGAGGGAAGCTGCCAATGACATGGTATCCACACGACTACCTTGCAAAGGTGCCAATGACAAACATGGGATTGAGAGCAGACCCGTCAAGGGGTGAGAATCCTGTTGTGTTCCCCTTTGGCCATGGAATTTATCCTGGTAGAACCTACAGATTCTACAAGGGACCTGTTGTGTTCCCCTTTGGCCATGGAATGAGTTACACCACGTTTGCTCACTCTCTAGTCCAAGCCCCACGAGAAGTTTCAGTGCCACTCGCAAGTCTCCATGTCTCGCGAAACACTACAGGCGCAAGCAACGCGATCAGGGTCTCGCACGCAAATTGTGAGGCACTCGCGTTAGGGGTTCATATTGATGTGAAGAACACTGGAGATATGGACGGAACTCACACACTTCTTGTGTTCTCTAGTCCGCCGGGAGGAAAATGGTCAACACAGAAGCAATTGATTGGCTTTGAGAAGGTTCATTTAGTAACAGGGTCTCAAAAACGAGTCAAGATTGATATTCATGTGTGTAAGCACTTGAGTGTCGTGGACCGATTCGGAATTCGAAGAATTCCAATTGGTGAACATGATCTTTACATTGGAGATCTCAAGCATTCGATTTCACTCCGAGAAAATTTGGAGGAGATCATGTCCTAAAACCAACAGCAACTGTAAGATAAAACACACAACAAGTGTTATCGAGTTGCAAATACTAAGTAGGCGTCGATTCCCAGTCCATGAGCTTGCCGAAGGATATATACATATTTACACACACACATATATATATATAACCGAGTGAAACAAATATGGGTCTAGGTAAGCCATCAACACAACCAGCCAGAAAATAGGCTGCGTTGCTGTCTTTCTCTTTTCCACAACTATGTCCATGTATGATTGTAATGTACTTATGAAATTAAAAGTTGTTTTTAGTAAGGGAATGGCTATTGTCACTGTGAGCACAGCCTCACCGATTTTTTAACATTTGAAATAACTGAAAATCAAAAATGACCTTGCTTTGTTTTTTTCTACCAGGTAAATATTCGTACTTGCAAAACATACGAGCCCGTATTTCTACTTTTTTTTTTAAAAAAAAACACTCACGAAACCATCTCTCCCTTTCTCGGCCTCCTCCTCTGCTCATGCTTTCTTCCCCAAAACTCCTTTCCAAAAGCCATGGCTGCTCACCTTTGCTAACCACGGTAAGGAAGAACCGAACATAAACAAACATCTTTACTGGGAATCTCTTAAATTCAAACAACCAAGAAAAATAAATCAGGAATCTCTTAAATTTAACCAGGACAGGCTGGGTTTGTTTTAATAACAGATGGGTTTCTTCGTGTAGTGTGGCGATTTCAATTAGAAGTGTGGATGATATTTTTTTTTTGAAAAAGGATTGATGATAGGGGTTGTGATTGCGATTGTTAATGAATGGGAACATTACAAAATAGGATGTAGTTGACAACACGGATGGTTTTTTGATAGAAAATATGGAGGCTGACGGCGGTGCAATGAAGGTAGCTCTGAATTTGACAGCGAGGGGCAGCACACAGTGGAGAAAGAGTGGGGTTTTTTTTTCAAGAAAAAAAAGGTAAAACGCACACAGCTTTTGTGGGTTCATAAATTTGTGGACATAACATCATTGATGTGGCAAATCCACAACATCCGACTGCCACGAATGATCTGGTGATTCATTGTACATGTAATACATTGACACCCAATTTTTGTATATAATCAAATCCCACCCATTAAAGCTAGCATATCATAATACAATCTATGCCATCCATTTAATAGACTTATTTCAATTTTGCATTTATTAGGTTTGCCTCAAAATTATAAGAAAAAACAAAAGAAGAAGTACACCGTTGCGTTGATAATGAAAAAGATCTTGAAGTTGATTATTTGTGTATCTAAAATCTCTCTCGATTCGTTTTACTTTATTTATTCCACTCTTTTGCCGCCGACTCCTTCTCAATTCTCATCCACCACCGCCGTCCCCTCCAACAAAAACTTCTCCTCGACTTTGATGCCCCACCGTCACCGCAAGACGCTACCACCTTGAAAACCACCCGCCACGAACCCCACAAAAAATCAGGCTTAAAGAAATAAACATGAAGGATTTATCGATATATTAAAATAATATTTTTTAAAAAAATTATTTTTAATATTAATATATTAAAATAATCTAAAAAATAAAAAAAATAAATTATTTTAAAATAAAATAAAATAAAAATTATTTTTAAAATGAAAAAACAAATATCCCGTTTACCATTTATTATCGTTATCTAGGAATTTTTATTTGCAAATAATGGTACAAGTTTCTGCAAATTTGATAACTATGCACTACTTGGATTGTTAGAAACGGACGGATTTGAATTAGATTGCACGAGTGGTAATGCGCGATGGTTGTTTAAAATTATATTAAAATATTTTTTTAAATGTTATTTTAATATTAAATCTAAAAATATTAATTTTGAAAAAAAATAAATAAGAAGCGGACACAAACGGTAAAACAACTGCATCACAACAAGTGACTCACTGTGCATTAATTAATATGCTGTTAACCAATGAATGTCGGGAAAGTTTGCTTTTTTCTCTTTTTTTTAGATTTTTTATATTAACATATTAAATAAAAAATATTAATTTATTTTTTACTAAATTTTTTTTAAAAATGCTTGGAAAAACGGGATGAACTTACTTTTGTTGCTGCCGTGGTTTTGTGTCGTAATCAAATTGGCATCAATTTTATCCCCAATTGCGCCAATTTCTACATCACTATAAAATGCTGGTGCTGCTTCTTTTTTCTGAAACCCGATTGGGAGTTTGGACAACTTGTCTCATGGAGACATAAATCAGGCCGGGGGAGTTGGACAAGTACTTGAGATTTCTCTTTCAAAAATTGGCCGGAAAAAAGAAAAAAAAAACCGGTGAGAAAAGACATCTCCTTTCTGGGTACACTTCAATCTTACATCAAAAATGCCATCTCTATCCGTACATTTGAAATTTTCCAATGTTACAAACTGTAGTTTTTACAAGTTTCAATGGTGTCCAAAATCATGTTTTAGGTTTTTTTTAATTGTTTTTTTAGTTATTTGAGAGAGAGAAAGAGAGAGAGTCCTTCTTGGTTATTTGATAATCAAGAACAAAACTGAACGAACTGTTAAAAAACTGTAGAGATAACATCGAAAAATTACGAACCACGGGATTAAAAGGAGAACATTGATGAAGCTATATTATGAAAGAAAAATATAGTTTATACCCCTAATATAGGCTGAAAATTTCACATGGAATCTCAAGTACTTCCAGTTGTATTGTGAAAGAGACTGCACACAAGATATTTCCATCTTAGTTGATTGGCAAGTTGCTCGAGATAATGTATGTATTTAATCATAGGTGCAGTGGAAAAAAAAATTATTTGAATGTAAATTTTTTTAGTTTTGATATATTACCTAATATGAGTTTTTTATATATTCTAATAAATTACATGAATGTTACCTACATAAAACTTAATATTTTTAACTTTGTTTATATAACGTAGGGGATCTAATATTCTCATTTTATTGTTTTGATATTGTTGATGTGCATTATTCAAATCAAATAATTAATGTTGTAATTTGAACTATCTTAGCATATATTGGATTGTATTAACATCATAGATAAATTACGTAATATTATTTGTCAGGATAAGTACAAAAGAAATTTGTTATTAATTCATATATTTTACATGGATCTTAGGATGTTTGGAGAGATTGTGTTTTTGATGAGCGATATCTAATAATTGATATAAATACCTATATGAGACTGTTTTTATCTACTACATGGCGATTCATTACATCTACTTGATCATGTTTTCCAGGATATTAATGCAATCTGATATATTATGCCTTCTAATATATAAGACAAAATCAATAAATATGCAATATTGTTTTACATACAATATTTATTAAATTCCAGATTAATTTTATTACTAATAATAATTATTAATTAATTTTTAATATATGTATATAAATTAATTACTCGGTATTTGAAACTCAAAAAACAACAATGACTATTTATAAAGATTTTGGTAAGATAAGACATATTGTTGCCAACATTATATTATATATCATAATAGACTTTAAGAGATTATAGAGGTTTAGCATCTTGAAGTTGCTTTAATGGAATATAAGAATGTAGGCCCTTTCATAAACTAACTAAAATGATATTGATCCTCCTCATGTTTATCTCATGTTTATATGAATATTACAAATTTATTCTAAAGTTGGATAAATTAGGATGATGATTTAAGCCACCCTTCTCTAGCCAGGATAATTATTAAATATAATTGTATATCACTAATTATATATTATGAGAATTATTAATAAAATTATTGATAGTTTAATTTTAATAAGATATTATGTTATGTTAATTGTGGGTTTAAATTTATTAATTATATTAATTATGGTATATGCTACTTATAAGAATTGTTTTTTGATGGTTAAAAAATAGTTATGTAAATTATACAAATTACTACTTTTTTAAACAATTCAAGAGTTAACAGCAGAACAAAATATTTCATGTTTTTCTACCGGTGTTATTTTACGAAAAACTTTTTTAACTGTGGTAAGGTATCCAAAACACTCTATAGATCACCTCGCCCCCCTTGTCTTCCTTGTGGTCCTGATTTTGCAACCTCCTATATCCGGCAATAAAGGTATTTATCATGGTCAAACATGATTCTGTAACAAATTGCAGCAAAACTCAGTGGTGGGTACCCTACCATGATGTTTTCTGGACTGCATATTCTCAGAAGCAGTACATGTTCTTGACGATATTGATTACAAATATTTAACATCACGAGAAGTTTTTTTTTAAAAAAAACGTTGAAAAAATAAAGACGCTGCAAATGTTTTCACTGAAATATTAATTACATATATATTTTCACAGTTTAAATCTAACAAAAATTCACGAGGCTGCTTATAAATCCTTAAGAGTTACATAATAAAATTACATTTATTTATTGAGAAACCCGGCAGTGAAGTCTCATGCTATGTTGTTGACGAACGGAGATATTTGTTTGATTTTCATACGAGACAAAAACAAACCGCTAGCATTTAATGAGAAGGGTATTAAGGGACACGGATTATGTAGATTTCTCTCTGAAAGCGCCTCTCATTTTTTTCATTGAATTTTAAAGGGAAAACGGGGAGAGGAATTTTCACCTAATGCAAATCTCTAAAGAGAAAAGGCCAGATAATGAAATATTCATAATAATAGAAAAAACATAGAAATAAATACACAAATACAAAACGTGCTTGATGAAAACAAGTGTCGGTAACAGAGAGGATGTGCTGTTGCCTGAGAACGTACGGTGCTGGGTTTGCCATGGACCGACCTATGTTGATGTTGATATCCTAACTGTGCAAACCATAGCTTAATTTCTTTGATATTTAATTGATGGCAGAAAAGGATCATAGAATAAAAAACCTTTTCTACTACAAGATACACATATGCTTGTTAATACACACACACAAGTTACATATAAGATACATAAATACAAGCAGGAGTCCACCAGTTTTAAACCTTATTTCCACCCACCGCCTCCCCTCCTCCTCCTCCTCCTCCTCCTCCTCGCACTGGAGTCTTGTTAGTTAGCCTTTCTTTTCCTAGCTTGCTTCTAATATCTCGTTACATGCGTATCTATTATCCACCCCTTTCTCGTTTACTTTTTCAAATCTGGGGTTAATCTTTTCTCTTACTTATTATCATCATATATCTATCTTCCCTTGCCCATGTTGTAGTTGTATATTCTTATCCCACCTTCTCACTCCAAAGCCAATCCCATTCTCTCTCTCTCTCTCTCTCTCTATTGGCCCTTTTTTCTTTCTTTAACGTTCCTCTGCTTTCTATCTCGCATCTCTCCCTTTTCTCTGCTGCAAGGTAATTCAGGGATGAAAGATCCCTCTCCCATCCCTTTCTCTCATAACCTGACACGTACACACACCTTCTTTTTGGCCACGGGTTGCGAGTGCTGTGGCCCTTTGTATATAAAGGGTTCATTTCTTAACCATTTTACTGTTAGTGTTAATTTCTTGGGTCGATAGAGAGTTTTGGTATCCATTCTCCTTCATCTTTCCTCTCACTCGCAATCCTAAGAGTTGTTTTTGCCTTCAGAAGTTTTTGTTCTGATCGTTTAATTTGTTTGATTGATGATAACAGGGGAGAAGAGAGATGGCAGACTGCAACAACAGCGAAAACTTCTATGGCTCTCAAGACATTGAGGTACGCACGCACAGACCCGATGGGTTTATTCCCGTGTTTCTTTAGGAAAATCAAAACGAGATATTTTATTTATGAGAAATATTACTTGTTACATGAACGCGACTAAAACTGTGGAAGCATGCTTCGTGCGAGGTAACCACACATAAGATTTGTGGTGGTGGGCATATGGGACCCAACCAACTCATTGGTTTAACGTGATAGAACTACCTCGTCGATGATGAATTCAACATTGCTACCAATTATATGCAGTTTAGGGCCTAATATGAGAAGATCCTAGTTGCATGTCTAAATGCTCCTTAATTATATATAAATAACATAACAATTGCGAAATGATACCTAATCTTCATAGCAAACACTAATTCGTTGTCAGTTCAGACATAATTTAGTTTGTAAACATAAAATCTAGAATATATGCATTCGAGCATAGCACAATTCCTAACATCATATGTACACATTGAAATCGAACATGTGAAAATTGTTTTGAAAAATACAATCAAGCTAATGTGCATAACAATTCTCAAACCTACGTGGACATCTCTCAATCATTCATTTGTTGTATCGTTTATTTAGCTAGTGTAATAGCTTATGATTTTTGCATTGATTTCCACATATAATTTATATTTTAAACTTGTTTTTTATTTATAAAATATTTATTTTTTATTTATTTTGCATGTAAAGATCAATTTCATAAAAAAATTAATCTAATATATGTAGTTTTTTAAAAATCATAATTAAAAATAATATATTTAAAATCTCAACGGCAAAAGCTTCGTATTACCATTTTTTTTTTTTTAGCTTATCCCAAAAAGGAGCCTGAGCATCTGTGATATTTTTCAAGTGGGGCCTTAATGGAAGGGGCAAAAATAAATCTCTTCGCACTAGATTTGTCCTTTTCTTGGCTTATAATTAGTAGTATGGGATCCTCGTCGCAATCATCGTCATGTTTTAGTGGTCCCTACATCGAACGGCTATAAGTATGACATGACATTCACTGGGACACAAAATGCTGACATTCTTTGAGGTGTGTCGGCAAATGTACAGTCGTAATTTGTAAATACCACAGTACTACCATACAGTATAGCATCTGATTTTACCCAATACACTCGATTGATTACACACACCGGTTAGCCACTGTTTCGGATCACGGTACAAATATAGGCATGTGAATTTTATTTTTTTTAGTCGTTTGGATACATTTATAATAAAAATAAATTTTTAGAAACTAAAAAAGTAATATTTTAATTTATTTCTGAGCTCGCCGAAAATTCAATTAGAAAAAGACTTTATACTAGTATATTCAATATTGGTAAAAAATATTGTAATTGATGAAATAAAAGATTTTAAAGGTGGGAGGCAGATTCAACTCACCCATTGTAAATTTTGATTTTAGGCCTTATCAGTTGACGAGGTCAAAGTAAATGATAATTGAGGCTGGTCCGTTGTACCTAACTTAAGCCTTTGAGTGCTCACTCTAACCTAATTTTGAGATGAACGTTTTGTTTTTTTAGGAGGTAGTCTTAAATTAAATAAACTGAGAGACGAAAGAAATATTACCCACAACGGCTCCGTGGAGCCTAGCAAAGTCTAATTAAGAAAATAATGCCGGGCATTATTTAATTAACCAGTATTATTCTCTTGGAAATAAAATTGTTGAAGATTTTTGTCAAACTTGATTATGATTTATTTATTTTTTGCTGTTGTTGACAGGCAGCATCCACGACCAAGAAGTATGGGGGGCTGGCTCCCAAAAAGAAACCCTTGATTTCAAAGGTAAGCTAAATAACATGATTTAACAAGTGATATTAAAACAAATCAGTGCTATTATATGATAAACGAGCCTTTAATTATGCATGTAGGACCATGAACGCGCCTTCTTTGATTCAGCAGACTGGGCATTATGCAAGGTACTTGTCATTATTACTAGAGAAAAAACCACAAATTTTTCATGTATTGTCCCGTCGGTTCAGGTTTGGGTTTGGGGCAGGTGATCTTAAAATAAATGGTCCCGTGTATTAACATGCTCAGCCAACGCCGCATGAGATGCTGCCAGTTACTGAGCAGCAACTGCAATTCTTTGCTGATTGCAACCATCCTGCATGCCTAGTTGCTTGCTTCTACTTAAGGCCATGGAACTCATACTTTATTCTATTTTATTTATGTTTTTTCAAGTTGCTTCTACTGTGTTTCTGTGTTTTTTATCTCGAGATAATGATTAATTACTATCTTAAAAGTCTAAGTTGATTTGCATTTGAGTGTTTCTGAAGTTGAATGTAATGGCTACAACAAAAAACAGAATTATTACATGTTTGAGTTCATGTTTTTTAAAAGAAAATAACAGTCAATCAACTGGATTTGTTTCGAAAATACTTTCATCAAAGCCATCATTACATTAGAGGTATTTTCCTATAAATATATTCTATTATGGATTTTTAAGTGTGAAAAAACCAAATACACTATAGTCACCTCATTTGCTAATTGGTGCAGAGTAGAGGCGACGACTTTTACTGCAAATAGAACAAATTAATGCATATTGATTTGCTAATCCTCTGTGCCTAAAACTCTACTTAACCTCCTCTCTCTCTCTCTTCATTTTTGGGTTTTTCCCCCCCAAACAGCAAGGAGCTGGAGTGAATCAAAAGTCAAAAGTGGCGATAGAAACTTTGCGCCCGAAACTACAGGTAATAATATCTTACCCCCCATTCTTCTTGCCTGCGGTTTTTTTTTTT